AACTCAGGAGTCCAATTCAGCTTTGCTGTAACTGGTCATGACTCTCTTGACTTCAACAATGCTTCATATGCTTACACCGAGTCTGAATTTATCCCCATGGCTTCTCGGTCACTGGTCCTCCCTTCCAACTAAGAAACTACCTACATAATAAAAGTGATTCATTAGAAACCACTGAGTTCCAAAGTAGAGTGAACACTGAGACCTATAACTTTTTTATATGTGCTCAGTCATAAAAATGAATTTATATGGTCTTATTCCATAAACTCACTTTACAAATATTAGCCCCGCAACCATACTTTCATGAGCTGTAATCTTGTCAAAGCTCGTAAGTTAAGCAAGGTCAGAATTGGTCAATATTTGGATGAGACTTTCTAGCAGGGAGGGGGCAAAAAAAAAAGTCATGCAGTATTTGTAAGTTAGGACGTATTGTGCTCCTCTTTAAAGAGATTTGGTACTAGTCTTAAAATACAACAAAATTTTGTATTTGCTTTAGCAATAAGTTTAGCCTCTGACCACATCTGTGCTGAATCTAGGCAGTTTCACTGATGTCCCTCCCCAGAGATGAAGGTGATGTAGCAGATGAAGTCTTCTTCCCCCGCCCACTCCACTTCCACCTAGAAAGTTGGTACCCAGAGGAACAAACAAATGTCTCCACTACTCCCCATCATTCTCTCCCTGAAGGGGTTTGTTTCTCTTGCTACTGTTTCTGCATTCTGTATGCTTTATCTACCAAAATATACATCTCTATACACAAGGAAGGAAAGAAAGAAAAGAAAAACCAAAACCACTCTGCCCTCCTTACCTCCTCCCATAAATAGGTTCCTCTGAGAATCTTATGCTCTTCCCCATTTTGTGCTCTTCCTTCAGGCAGCCCTTCCCCTCTCCCAGGTGCACACAATGTAGTGCTGAAGTGCCGTTAACATTTTCTTGTGCTGAGCTGTTTATAGGTAAGCGGAGCTATACTTTGGGAAAGAATGCTGTGGGCAGAGTAGTACACAGTCCCAAAAGATATCTAAATAATTGAAGGTGCTAAGAAAAAGACACGGCTATACAGTAACTTTCTGACAAACAGCTTAGTCACACATCTGAGGTAATACAAGGATGCAGAAGGGACCTGCAAACCTCTCTGGCTTTTCCTAATGCTGGAGCAGGCAGTGCCTCCCCTACACTTTACCACTCTGTGACTAAGAAGAGCTTTTACAGTAAAGGGGCTAGAATGGGAAAGGTCACCAATCCTGTACCAAGTGCTGTGCATCAAGGCAGCTGCACTGCAGTGGAAGGACTGCAAGTGGGCACGGAGGTCCTAGGCCCCGGGAGACAGGAACTCCCCCAGGCAGGGCTCCTTCTCCCTGAGCCCGGCTGCCTGTCAGCTCCTAGCCTGCCTGCAGCACCCAGCAGGGATGAGGAACAGGGCGTTTCTCCAGCTACTGAGTTCATGTGGTGGTATCCCATGTCAGACAGCTGGTGGAGACCAAGCCTTTCCCTAGGAAGGCAAGTAATAAATAAGGCATTAAGAACCTAGATACCGAATTAGACAGATCACGAACAAAGCTGTTTGTAAGAGGCATCATCAAAAATAGTAGCATGGAGGAGCAGTACATCAAGGGGTTCTCATGCAGTAAAATAGAAAGCAAAAACTGCAGCCAGGAGGTGGAAAACCCTGACAAGGCTACAGCCAAATAAACCTAAAGAGCTTTGGAAATAAATTGGTGGTTTAATCCGGATCAGGAACAGGTGCAATGAATGTAATTCAGTAAATGGTCCAAACCCTGCCAGAAGGCAGAGAAATGTGTTGCTTTTGAGATAATTTCCCAGAAGCTTCATAAAAGCAAATTGATTACTGGAGTTTAATAATTAAAACAGGGCCAGATATATAGTAATCAAATGAGTTTTTAATTACATCTCAAGAAGAAATAAAATCCAATTTGTGCACTTTGTATCAGAGAAGCCCTACTGAAATGCTTTGGTAGCTGAAAAAATAAAATAAAAGCTAATTTCCATAGGAATTATAGTAGTCAGTTTAATTAAAAGACTAGATCAGAATGAAAAAGTCCCAAAGTGAAAGGATACTAAATACAGAAGCAGTGGTTCAAACATCAAATCAATGTCTGAATAAAGACATTTTATAGACTAAGTGCAAAATCTGCAAGTATCACTAATCTAAATTAATGTGTAACAAAATAAAGTTTCTTAAAATTACACTGTATATTTTATACGTATTCCATTGAATTAATTGCTGGTGCTAGAGTAAAAATTAATATCAAAGACATGGTTTATTCTTTCTTAAATACTCCTTATAATTTATTTCATCAAAGTTAATGTTAGTAGTTAACCATTCTTGTTATTTACCTGGTAGCCTGTGTTGCACCTGGGTTATTAGACTCTAATGTCAGCTTAGATCTATATTTCAAAGAAATATATGTGTATTTACTTACAGATTTAAAATATGTTTATAGCTCATAGGATAACAGTGATTACCGCAGAACTGTGGGGGTGCTTCCTGAATCTATTCCCAGCCTACTTGGGCTCCTGGTCCCTGCTGTAGTCAACGCAAAGCTAATTTCTATAAGCACCTCGAGCACTCACAGTCATCCTGGCACAGTACGTGACAGAGTCGTCTCCTGCCATAAGCCATGGCAGATGCCAAGGCCTGGAGGGACAGGCACAGCAGGAGGTCATGCCCAGACCTCTGCAATTGCTCCCTGGCACTAGGCTGGAAAATGTCACAGTCTTGTGGTCAGTCTTGGTTGTCTCCTGGTAAAAAAGCAACGTTACATAAAGGACACAGGCACAGTCGAGAGCCGCACAGCCACACTGAGACAGAGTCCGCAGTCCCAGTGAGCTCCATCTTCTCTATGCTGCCTGTAGCTGCTGTAGGTTCCTGGGTGTACATATAGTGTATACAGTACATATACTATATATGGAGAGAGAAAGAAAGAGAATACATAGTATATATGTGTGTGTGTGTGTGTGTGTGTACATATATATATATACAGGAACAGCCTGTACTGCATTTTGTACTTACAGATCCTGGGGCTGACAGGATGAGAGTGCAGAACATCTTAGGGCTTAGAGAGGTTTGAAGCACACTGATTTTTAAACAGTGATTTAACCATCAGGCTGTTTGCTTATATATATTTCTTATTATTTATTGATTTGATTTTTTTTTTAATTGAAGGTGTATATTGGAAAAATACTTCACAAAAACTTTTTGAAGGTACTGGCTGTGCAGGGAAAGGATCTGATACGTTACTGTCAAGGGCTGACTATCACATGTGCTATCTCTAGATACTGAGCTGGCAGTGGTAATGCAGGTGCTAATGGTAATGGTAGTGAGCTTTTCAGGTACTTTCAGCTGTTTATAATGCATTACTGCCCCTCTGTTTTAGACTCTGCCAAATCAGGTTTAAGGAATACACAACAGTCTGAAATAAAGATATACAAATGCAGAGTTGTGAGGCATGGTGATGGGAAGGTTAAAAATCCTTATCCATTCTATAAAATGAATGACCATCAGCAGCAAGCAATGCTCTAGGGGGCAGAGACTGCAGTGAACCCTGCCTCTTACCCCAGGCCCAAGACTGCAAAATTATCTGCCCAGTCTGGGCCATATTCTAAGGAAATAATTTTGAAGTGGATTTTATTAAAGTTCCAACTTTTTCCTCATGATGTGATTTTTCCTAAGTGCTGAGCATTCATATTTCCTACCGAAGTCAACTGAAATTGCAAGTTTTCAGCACGTCTTAAAATCAGGCCATTAACCCTTAATTATCATATAATTGCTCAATTAAAAATCTACCAAGACTTACTTCAAGCCAAGCTCCCATGGCTTGCAAGCTAGCTATAAAAAAACCCAGTTCTTTAGTGTTGTCTGGCCTCTGGGGACCATTTAAAGCAGTTGCTGTTAACCCTGCTATTTAAAGCAAAAACTGATCAACTGCAAAGGTACCTGCTTCCCCTTCCCTTTCATTTTCTTATAATTTTCGGCACTTTTAGAAGAGCAACTTTTGCTGTCTTCTTTGTCCTTTTTGGCTTTTAATCTGGCACCAATCCTTTCTTTCCAATGACAAATACATAATTTCCATGCTAGAGGAGAAAGCATGCTGCCCAGCTCTCAGCAAAAGCTGCTGCTTGATAATCAGAAAAGCTGCAACAGAACATGCCTCTGTCCTGAGGATACATTACATGACCACTTGGGAGGCAAATGGTTAACCCTTTCCTGACATCCAGTGCTGCTGTTAATTTCTGTCTCTCTTTAATATAGATACAAGACCAAGTGAAGCACTTGTGGTCTTGGCACATAAACAGGTCATATTAAAGGGGAAGTTAAAATAAACCTGTAGCAAAGGTATGCAGGAATTCCATAATTCAGGGATGTATTCAAAACCAGATGAAACCAGATTAAAGATTCTTACTGGCCTCTGTGACCTTTGGATTGGGTATGTGGAGAAGAGGTGATTTCAGTGCAACCTCAAAGAAAACTCATTTATATTTCTTTAATTTGAGCACATATTAATTGTTTTTTCTGCCAGCTTGGGAAAGAACAGTACTGTTGTGGTTTAGTCATCTATAGAAAAAAAAAAATCTAGCACTAGGGAGCTTATTTCAGCTTTGTCCAGCTTGTCATCCAGCCAGTGGGCCTTCCTGCTCATAGATGCCATAGCTGGTAGCCTCAGGCACTTGGGGATCCCTCAAAAGGACTATCTTTAAGGATTGCAAGAAACCTAAAGAAGTTGAGCGGCATCTCTGCCATTTTGTGTGCCTTTTTCTACATTTTGGTGGCCTAAAGACTTACAGAAAATGAGTCAGATAGATAAAGAGAACTCAATGGGGACAATAAATTTACCTCCACAGGTATTTACAGATGGGAGTGAGGAGGGTACGAGCATAATGCAGATTAAACTCTTTTTTTTCCCCTGTTATGCCATGGACTGTCCTTAAAAGGAGTGGATATTACTGTCAGTATTTTTTCTCTCATCCTCTTTTTAATCTTCTTCCAGTGTCTAGTGAAGCTGAATGTGAAACTGAAGCCTATGTTGGACTCTGTGGCAGTAAATAGAGGTAAATGGGAAGAGCTGCACCAAAAAAGACTTCCTTCTCAGGCGGCATCCTTGTCCTCCTTTTCCTCTAGCTTCACCACATCTCTCAAAGACATAAATTAAGCCTGCAAATATCAGTGTCACTTTACAATAAGAGCTGTCTGAAAAGTTTTCATAAGCTTAGACCCACCATTTTTTAAGACATGCTTTCCCAGACATGCCTAATTGATGGGATATTATCTTGGTGGCAGCACAGTTTGCTTTTCCTGGAAGGCTTAGTGGGACTGAACGGAAGCCCGCAGTGGGATTGCGCTGGTATCTGGAGCGACACGGAACACTGAACAGAAGAAGCGTTCATTCAGCTCCACTACATTTCAACTGCTGCTGTAAAGATCTGTAAAGCTGACAACAGACTGAAATATAAGAACTCGCAGCTTAATAAAATTAATAATACAGAGCAGGACTAGGATGCAAGCTGGCCAATTCATATGCAAGGAGCTGCAGAAAACAGAATAGTGTGTAATTACATTGTTGTTTTGCATCTCTTCAGTACATGTTATGAATCAATTATGCCTGCTTTTGTGATGATCCTCTCTTACTCTCCCTCCTCTTTTATGCCTGAATGTTCTGAAAAGCCTGCTTTGTATTCTGAAGAAGTATTTTTTTACAACAAAGCTTCTTAGTGATTGATCAGGGCCTTTAGAATTGCCTACCTTTGCTACATTTAAAAACAAACTTTATTATCTTTAAAAACACCAAGCTGTCCCTTCTTCCCTGAGAAATTCATATTAACACTGCAGCAAATTTCTCAGCAAGAGGAAGTTTGCATAAAGGCAAAATATTGCATGGTAATTTTAGACTGGGTTTTTCTTTTAAAAAATGCTCCTATAACACATTCATTTTTTTCAAATTATAGTGTCGCCTAAGGAAAAGATTAATGGTTGTTTTTTTTTTTTTAAATAGAATACAAATAGAAAAGGAAATCTGTTGCTTTGTGCTTCAGGTTTATGTTACATTGAAAAGCAGAACATGGATAAGCCTTTCTAGTATAATTTCCAGTAGAAATTAGTATTTTGAAATGGTGGAGAGGTAGAATATCATCACACTGGACTACCCCTTACTCTCTCACAATTCTTTCAGTACAATTTCAAATGCTGTTACTACAGGTAGCACAGCACTAGTCAAGGCTCACATGTTGACACCCATGGTGAAGGTGTCCCTAAAAATCTAATCAAATATGATAGGTCACAAAACCAAATGTCTCTCTGTGATGACCCTAGTATTAACCTGAAAGTTGGCCTCCTTCCATTAGTGTCAAGATCACTAATGCAGCAAACCTGTGATCTATGATTTGAGGATGCTTTCTCTGCTGCACGACCAGACACAAGAGGAGTCATGTTGCAGTGCTTATGAGTGACCATTCATGGTGGGGGGAGGGGGGGAAAAAAAGCCTTTGTACTTCATGAAAAATGGGATTCTAAATATAGGGTTGTCTGGCACCAGAAATTAAAGCTGAATTCAGCTTAGTTTTACACCTGTGCCAAACTCCATTTACTTCTGTGGAATTACCTTGAACTGGCACCAGCTTAATGGAAATCAGAACCTGGCCCAGCTGACCAGATGCTAAAAGAGCTTTTCCCCTTTCTAAGGAAACTGAGTTGTTAGAGCCTTAGAAAAGCTGACTACATCAAACAGAAACAACAAATCTGCTGATCCCTTCTTGAAAAGAAGCACGACAAAACAAAAATGCTCTGTGCTTCTAATGGTGTGTAGGACAATAGCTGGAAATTCAGTATCATCATGAGCCAATCTGTTAGTGCACAACTGAACCACATCACTCTCTAGCAGAAGGAAGCAGGGAAGGAGCAGAAATGCAAACTGCACAGCAGTGAGTACACACACCAAATGGAAATGTTCTTTTACCACTTCTTTCTTCTCTGAATAAAGCCAGAGCAGTTTAGTAAGCAGCAAGCCATACAAACCTACAACATGTACTTTATTGAAAACAGCTACTAGGAACCGACAGTACTGCTGGCAAGTACACACGGCTTTCCTGAATTTTGATATTGCATACTGCTAAGTGTGACATAACTTATAATGCATACCCTACGGCCACCCCGAAGGTTGAGTCTCCCCTCATTTCCTCTCCTTTTATTGGCTTCAGTGCACTGTTGCCCATGGCAACACCCACTGGCAGGGATGGGGACTCGGCAGCACCGCAGCCTGACACACAGCTGAAGCCCTAACAATGTCAACCATCAATCAAGTGACTGTTTGTAATTGCCTCCATCTATTTCTCCTGTCTTTTGGTATCTTTGCCATTGTGGGTCAAAATTCAGAAACTGCTGACTAATGTTATGGTTCTGTTCCTCCATCACAAGGAAGAAAATGAGAGCACACGGCTTGATCTTATCAAATTGTTCTCAGGAAAAACGAAGCAACCCTACTGAAACTGGGGGCCCAGCAGTGCACCTCAGAACAGCATTCAGTCTCTGAAAGTCATACAGCTCAGTCTTAAAAAACCAACCAACTAAACAAACAAAGACCTTAGCTTCTTTTTTTTAAGACTTAGCTTAGGAAACAGCAAAAAAAAAGGGCGAGAAAAAGATGATTCTTTGTGGACGCACGTAGTACATTAAAGAAACATATTTCAAGTCTATTATATTTTAAGATTGTTGGAAACATTTTTTAGCTATTGCTTATAAACTTGATGATCAGAAATTGTATCTGCTTTTCATTATTTCTGATAGGGAAACAATTTCCCAGTATTTCAGTCATTGCTACCAAAGTCTCTGAGATAAGCACAAGAGACATGATTGTGTAGGTTATTTAATCTCATTCTCTGTCTTTTACTTGCTTCCCTGCCTGCTGAACAAGAAGAGATTAAAAAAAAAAACACTGAAATCAGCCTAATTCTGTGAATGCTTATAAAACACATGTGCACAAGAGGCAAGGACAAATCAAGACAGCATGTGGAGAACACAACTGTTCCCCAGGACTGTGCTGCTTGGCCTTTCCCTTGAGATGCCCAGCACATCAGCAAAAGACAAGTCACCATTTCTTTGTCCCAGCTGTAAGTGGAAATTTGGCCTTGAATGAGGCCTCTTAGCACTTACAATTCCAGTGTTAAAATTTGATGGGCACATGGGTTGTCCATAGGACACCCAGAGGTGCTTCAGGTTGGTTGTGGCAATGCCTTTTTTTCCTAGGTGTCCTACTGACTTGTGCCAGCTGCTTCCTGAATTCAGTTAGGTTTCTAGGCCCGTGAACTACAGGTCTTGAAGTCTCACAAGAGCCAGGCAGCAGCCTTAATTTTGTCACAGAAAATGCTCAGGTCTTCATCCCCATCCTCAAAGGTAGTTCAGGCCAAACAGTAATTTCACTTAGGATTCCCAACTGTGAAACTACTTACCAAAATCACCCTTTCCTTACAAAAAATGAAACCCAAATAAAACAATAATTTTTAAAAATCCACCATAAATGTTCTACAATTGCAAAGGCTAATCAGGAATCAGCTAGACATTCAAATCCTGCTTGATTTTGAGCAGGCTTCTGAACTGCAGGTGCATCTGCCCCCCACCAGCTGGTGGTGAGTAACAAGAGTGGGCTTGTCGCCTGCCCTGCTGCCAAAGCCCCTTTCATGTGCTCAGCAAGGAGACAAGGAAGCCCACTGGGTACAGCCCCAATTTTGGCTTCGCTCCTGAGAGGGGCATGGGGCACACAGGCTTTGGTGGAAGAGCTCAGGTCTTGTATGTGCACTCCCTTGGACTAAATTGCTCCCCTGCAACACGACAGTGTGACCTCACCAGAAAACTGAACACTGTTCACGGCAAGGAGCACCTGGGGTAGAGGCTCCCCAGTGGTTGAGACAGAAGAACCTCCCAAGGACAAGAGGTCCAAAAGGTGTCTTTGGCCATAAGTCAAGTAGTGAAACCAGACATTTCTCTCCCAGCCTGGAACCTACAGACAAATAAGAACAGCCTCACAGTGTGATGGAGACACAGACTCTGCTTGTCAGGACGTGGTTTTGTTCCTGCTCCAAAGCAGAGCTGCACAAGGTCAGGCAGCAGTACCCCACTGAGGTTTAAAGTGGATGCCTCATGTAGAAGGCAGGCACAGAACTCCCCACGCAGCTCTGTCTCAGCCAGCCCCTAGGATTACAGGGCCAGGGGTCTTGCCAAGAAGGTCAGTTGTGTGTCAGAAGGTTGTGTTTTGTAACCACAGCGTAGACAAGTATGTTTCTTTCTAGCTCAGGTATTTCTTCAGATGGTGTCCTTGGTAGAGCAGCTGCATTTTTCTGGTCTGGTGACCTTGCTAATTGCACCTTCTTAGAGAGCACTGCAATCTCATAATGTGCCTGTAGTTACCAACAAAGCCAATACTAGTACTCACAAATTATTTTTGAAAACTGCAACCAGCAGTGCCTCATGTAATTTGTAGTATTTAGATTAATTCATTCTAGTGGAAAAACAGGAGTGTTTCAGTCTACAGGCCAAATACTTATTTTCCCTTTATAAAATCAAAATAATTTTAGTTCCTGATAAGTCATTTGTGCATTGTGTGAAAGTTTAAAACCGGTTTATGTCAAAGATACATAAAACATACTAACAGGCACTTCAATGCCTAGAGTGTTATGTGCAAGAAAACATAGAGCAAGAAAGGTTTGTCTAATGGCTTTTTCAAAGGAAGAGTTTTCAAAGAGTAAAATCACGTGAATGGTTTCTAACATAGCAATGAAGTGGGATGTATCAGATGCCACAGAGATTCCTGTCGCTGGAATGTGCCACTATTGAAATACATCCTGTATATTGCTTGCTACCGTTTCTTTCTTGGATTACTTTGTATTTAATGATGAATTTTTAAGCAGGTAGGCCATTACATCCTACAGTTTTCTGGGGAATACATGGGAGACAGCTGACAAATGCACAGAAATACCATGTGTCTGTTCTAAGGCAAGTGAATCCCAGATGCAAAATGTGTAACTTAAAAGATTTCTGCATACTTTTCCTTTTTTTTTTTTTTTTTTTTCATCTTAAAACTATTACTCTTACTGTTTTGCTTAGTACATCAAACTATCCTGGTTCAGCTTTCAAAGCATGCTTTTGAAATTAACAACTTGGGTT